AGTGTCATCAGCATTGATTGTATACATAGCTATAGAGCCCAGTCTACCCTCTTGTTCTAAATAGACATTGACCCTACAAGAATATTCATCCACCCTTTGATAAACCTTTTTAATCCTACTAGGTGTAGCTATCCTTGTCACCAGAAAAGCCTGGTGGGGGGAACCATTTTAGTTACCAATATCCTAACCATGTGACAGGTAGTACTGTGTTACATGTTACTCAGGTAGAGTAACACACACACACACACACACACACACACACACACACACATATATATATATGTAAGCAAATATATGGATATAGATCCAACAGTATGAAGAAAAATACAGAAAAAACAAACAAAAATCTTAATATGCAATTATGCTGTATTAATGTTAATATAAAGTCGACGTCAGACGTTTTGGTCTATTATTTCTGTATTTTTCTTCATATATATATATGGCTGGAAGACATTAGCATGCAGAAGGTGGAGGCAGAGGTTACAACAACCCCAGGCATCCATATTGGGAGTGCATACAATCAAAGAGTGAAATAAAAATTTAGTTTTCAAAATTTGGAATCATACCTGTTAACTTCATTGTACAAGTGCCCTACAGTCCCACAAGTTAGTGTGAATGTGGATGCATGTTTTGATAAGCGACACCAGAGTTTAAATTGCCAATGGTTGAAAGCCCTTCCTTTGATTGTGTTTACCACTCTCACTACCAGATCTACCACATACTTTAGGTCCAGTGCAATTTTACAAAGGTTTTCCTGGTACAGAATACAATGAAAAGACAAGATATCACTGTCTGTGTATTCTGCTTTTAACTTGTCCTCTATAAGTTTAATCATACCGACATTTTTTCCAGTAAATGCTCTGGCCCAATCTGTTGTAATACTTACCATTCTATTCCATGATGAAGCATTTTTCTCCCCACAATCCACAACACACTTAAACAAGTCCTGACCAGTGGTTGTATTTTCATCAATTCCAAACCAAGTAATTCCTTTGTGATGATGAAATTTTTGTCAATTCCACAGATAAAGATAAGTAATTGTGCAGTGTCTTGATTATCATTGCTCTCATCCAGTGCTAAAGAAAACCAAACAAAATCTTTGCTCACATCTGTTCATCTGTTGTATTAGTTTGCTACTGATTAAGTCTCTGTACTGTATTATAGTCGTCCTTGATAATGAAATGGTTTCAAATTTGCTTCTCACATCAGGGCACAGGACATTTGCACAGTCTACCAAGAACTGCTTAACAAACTCACCATCAGAAAATGGCTTGTTGTTTTTAGTAAGGTTTTATGCTACCATGAAGCTTGCCTCTGTAGCACTATCCTGAAGTATCGATTGCTTCATAAATATGATTTGTTGCTTCTTACTATGTTTGATGGCATATTTCACCCACTATTTAAATTTATCATTAGTGGAATACATTATTGTGTCTGAGTATATTATCAGCGTACCAAGTACCCTCCACTTTGCATGTAAAATCTAAAAGATTGGTGAGGATTGGTTCTTAAATATCACCAAATTGTGTATATACAATGTCAAATTTGTTTCAAAGAAAAATTAGTCACTTCTTTCTTTTCTCTTTCTCAGTCATTAGAATTCATAAAATCATTAATACACAAATCCAGGTTACTAAAAGAATTAATAGTCTATGTACGTCTCATCTGCCAACATTTTGGAACACATCTTTAAAGTCAATTTAAAATGATTGAAAGGAGTTTTCTTTGACTAAATGCAGAGTGTATACTGGGAACAAACTGCCTGCATGTGGATAGAAAATGAATCCAGTAAATACACAAAAATAGAAAGGGGTGTATGACAAGGCTGTGTCTTCTCACCAGATATTCAACCTTTACCATGAGGCAATCCTGAGAGAATTAGAAATCTTACCAAGAGTCATTATTGGTGTCCACAATTTTAACAATGTTACATATGCAAATGTCAGTGTTGATAGCAGGCACCGAAAGGAAACTACAGGAAATCCTACAGAAGGTAGTAAAGGAAAGTGAGAAGAAAGGACTAACCATCAATTGTAAGAATTGAGACTATATAGCTGTCAGCAAAAGGAACAGCTTAACATGTAAATTACAAATTGGAGATGCTAAAATCAAGCAGTTATGAAAATTTAAATATCTTGGAAATGTTTTAACAGAGGATAGAAAATGCAGCACCAAAATTAAAAGCTGCATTGGGATAGTGAAATATGGCTTCCAAAAAGCTAAGCAAAGTATTAAGAAACTGTAAAATTTCAGTAGAAACAAAAAAAAAAAAAAAGACTACTGAATTGTTGTGTAATACTGGTCCATCTATAAGGCAGTGAATGCTGTACAATCAACGACAAGATGAAGAAGAGATGTGAAGCAACAAATGTGATTCTACAGAAGGATGCTGAAAATACCATGTACTGAACATGTGAGCATTGACAGTTTTATGGAAAAGGGATACAAAAAGGACACATACTTAGAATCAGTAATAGATAGCTGAAATTTATAAGGCATATAATGAGGAAAGAATACTTGGAAAATATGATACTCACAGAACATCATGAAGGCAAGTGGGGCAGAGGAAAGTAGCAAGTAACATACCTAACAAGCTTGTATATATGTTTAGCAGAACAGGGATTAAATAAAAAGACAAATATTACTAAGAGCCAGAAAGAATAGGAAATTGTGAAGATCCATGATTGCCCACATTTTGAAGAGGTATGGCACATAGAAGATGACTTTTGTCAACACTCATTGCTGATTATTCTCACATAATTTTTGAAAGGGTGGAGAAGCTTGATAAATTTTTTGTCTTTGTAGATGAGAAAAAAAAAACAGAATAAACAGTGATAGCATGGATTTGTTTAAGGTTGATTGCAACTTGCCACTCAAGATCATTCTTTGTGGTCCCGAGCCGTGGCACTAGACATCTCCAAAGCATTTGATAGGGTTTGGCATGCCGGCCTTCTGCACAAGCTCCAGGGTTATGGCATTACGGGTCAATTATATAACCTAATACAATCATTCCTGTCAAACCATGAATTGAAGGTCGTTCTCAACGGATTCTCCTCCAGTTCCTATCCCCCGAACGCAGGTGTCCCTCAAGGCTCCATCCTAGGCCCCACTCTATTCCTTATCTACATAAATGACCTTCCTGATGCTGTAACTTCCCAAGTTGGCATCTACGCAGATGACACCACAATTTATTCCTGCCTCAAAAACAAATCTAGTCTCGCTTACAAAACTCACCTTGTCGTGCGTCTCGAAAAGGACCTCCTATCAATTGTGAACTGGGGCATGAATTGGCTGGTCAACTTCAACGCTTCGAAGACAAAACTGCTCTCTATTAATCACCATAGAGAGACTTCCCTTCCCCCCATTAGAATGTCTGATGCTCAACTTCTCGAGAGCAACTCTCTGCGGCTTGGTCTCACATTGACTGCTGACCTGAGATGGAATAAATACATTGAGTCAATTACCTCGTCCACTGCGAGGAAAGTTGGCTCCCTGAGCCGCGCTAGGAAGTTTTTCTCCCCTGAGTCGATCCTCCAGATATACAAATCCACAATTCGCCCTTGCATGGAGTATTGCTGCCATATATGGTCTGGTGCCCCTTCTGTTTGCCTCGGGGTTCTTGATAGGCTCCAGAGGCGGATATGCAATGTAGTTGGCCCTGCCCTGGCATCTCGTCTACAGTCACTTTCTCACAGATGCGCCATCGCCTCCCTCTGTCTGTTCTACAAATACTTTCATGGAAATTGCTCCGAGGAGCTGCATTCGCTGGTTCCCAGACGTCATGAGTTCCAGCGCCCTATGAGGTTGGCATCCCGCTCTCACCCCTTCACTGTCGAAACTCCTAAATGTAGCCGTCTCTTCTACTCTAATAGCTTCATGTCTCACACCTCTCGCCTGTGGAACTCCCTTCCCTTCTCCTGTTTCCCTGTGAGCTATAATCTCCAGCTATTCAAGTGTAATGTCAATTGACATCTCCAGTTGCCTTAATCTATCCACTACTCTCATCCTTTCTTCTATCACTCCTATCTGATCTTGCTATTTTCTGTAACCCCTTGCGTCCTAGTGGCTTCCCGCCTTGCTTGGGGTGAAACGCTTAAAAAAAAAAATAAAACCATATGGTGTGAGCCCTTCAAAATCAGATGATGAAACTGCAACAGACTGAGTCTTGTATAATGATGAGTTGTATTTTCTTAGTCAGTCTACCTGGTATTGCTATCTTCCATTATTACAACTGTTGGGAACCAAAAAGTGATTACTAATAAAGAACAGATTTTTTTTTTTTGCTTATCTAAACTCTCTTCTATATACTCCTGCTTTCTTAGATCATTGATTAAAAATGACTTTCTGCAAATGAGACCTGTAGGTCTTAGCAAGGACCATCCATCTTTGAATCTTATTAACTGGTGCTACAGAATCACAAAGAAAGAAGTATACCAAGTAACAAAAACTGCATCACTTGAGGACTTGTAGCAACATCTAAAATCGATAGCACATGTAACTGAAAGAGAAAATCTTGACATAATGAAGATGTTGATATTCCACACTACTTCAAACAAAAAGTTAGGAAGAAAGCCTCCATTAATAATGGAAAGACTAAATGCAGTAACTGGACTTGAGAATAATTTTCCTGGAAAATTGTTTTTTAGGATAACTATATTTTATTGTTAATTATTTTTTAATAAATCTACCTTCTTTTTTTTTTATTTAATAATCGTAGATTTTACTTAAAGAATTTAAATAATAAAATCAATTTCCAACAATACTTTAAGCATCATCCAGTGAAAATAATAGAAGAGCTTAGTAAAAAGACAATTAAACACTGGCTATTTTAAAATTTAATTCTATATGGGAATTTTCTGACAAGAATATTTATCCCTGAAATATGGCCAAAATTGGGAGTGGAGAAGGCTGGGCATCATGTGTTCTATCTTTAACTTAGCCAGCCACAATCACTGACCCAATCATGATAGCAATATTCCATTCACCAAAATATCTGGCTTATGACCACATCACATTGAAACGCCAGTTCCTGTACGATCACCAAAGTTAAGCAGTGTTGAGTGTGATTAGTACCAAGATGGGTGACCATTTTGGAATACCATATGCTGTAATCTTGAATGTGCAAGTGATGTAATGGATAATGGCCCAGAATTTGTTAATTGGTGGGCTGAGTTCCAACTCTCGCTGGGTTTATTATATTTACTTATGCGCAGATACTCTTAAGAATAGGTATGAATCTACCTCTTTTCCTCTTGGCTATGGGTTAATTAGTAAGACTTGTATCATTAAAACATTATTATCTCCAAAAAATTCTTACATTCTGAATGTATTTCTGGATTTAAATAACCTGCAAAGGGTTAGTAAACCATAGAAAACGAATCAATCATAACATCACATTCTTACCATTCTCAAAGCAATCGCTGTAATACTACATATTCTCTATGAAATTCTAATATGTCCTCATATGTAATATTATCTGGAGTGTGGGTGGGTAGATGATCATAACAACATTTAACCCCAATTTACTGACAAGTATGTAAATCACCATTTACAGAAAACCAGAGATTATCAGTCTGAACAATCATGATTGTCAAATGTCTAATGGTTTCTTATCCCAAAGAAAGTGTGCCCACATACATTAGTTAGATGGGTCAGTAATGACTTTTCATTATCAATTTGTTAATTCAAGTAAAACCCAGACTTTGAATGCTTAATTTCTGAGCAGATGCATCCCTCTTTCCACTCAAACCTAAACAGATTGCTGCTATACAATCTTTTGAAAATCATTATAAAATGGCTTCCAAATTCGTTATTAACAACCTCTTCTTCATGTTCATCCTTGAGGCATTTCATATACACATAGATCTATTAAGGAAGTGTTTACTGATCTTATACTGTGGATAGGATCTCACAGAAAAAGAAACTTGTGTAGTAAATGAAAATTCTGTGCTTCTGTAAACTAAAAAATGGCAGAGCATAAAATTCAATAGAGAGTCTGCAATATAATAAATCCTGGCCTGGCATCTCGACTTCAGTCACTTTCTCACTGATGTGAAATGACTTCTGTTTGTCTTTTCTACAAATATTTTCATCACAATTGTTCTGATGAGCTTTCATCCTTGGTGTCTCAACTACATGAATTTAAGCATACTACTAGATTGGTAAATAGGCTTCGCTATTTTACTGTTGAACTCACTTGATACAATTGTATGTTCTATTCTGATAATTCTTTTTTTTTCCTCACACTTCTCATCTATGGAACTCCTTGCTCCACTACCACCTACAATCTTCAAAAGTTTAAACGCATTGTCAATCACTATATTCTGACTTACTGAATCCTCTTCTTTTATTTTCCATTCTCCTCACTTCCAATAACTGCTTGCATCCTAGTGCCATTATTGTCTGGCTCAAGGGGAAAATGATTTTAAAAAAAGTATAAAAGTAACATATGTGCTAAGGAACAAGCAGAATTAGATTATCATGATGATTATCATTGCAGTGTCATGATTCAGTTTATTTTCTTATTCAATTTAACATGTTCAGATTTTGTTATTTACATCATTCATATTGTTGTCCTCATCTTTGTGCCATGTTTCACTCATTGTAAACTCCAGCCTTCTTCAGGATTTGTCTAGATTTCTGAGATGAGGTACTGTAACTATTTACATCATTCAGAATGTTGTCACCATCCTTATTGCCATATTTATAATGTTTCGGTTATTGTACTCCTAGCCTTCTTCAGGATTTGTCTATATTTCTGAGATGAGTTACTGTAACTATTTACACTATTTACATCATTCAGAATGTTGTCCCCATCCTTATTGCCATATTCATAATGTTTCAGTCATTGTACTCTCCAGCCTTTTTCAGGATTTGTCTATGTTTCTGAGATGAGGTACTGTAACTATTTACACTATTTACATCATTCAGATTGTTGTCCTCATCTTTATTGCCATATTCATGGCATTTCGACTGTTGTACACTCCAGCCTTCTTAAGGTGATATATGTTGGAATTTTCATGGGGGTATATTATTCTAATTCCACATGCCATGACTTTTTGGATATCTCAGTTTCAGTTAATTCCCTTTTGTAATTCAACTGTCCAAGTTTTTGTTCCCTCTACTCTTACCAGGTATTGAACTCACTACTCTTTGGGTCAAGTTACTTTTTGGATTACTTCAACCAATGCTTTATTTATCCACTAGGCGTTGTGAGTTCAATACCTGGCCATGTCAGAGGGAACAAAAACTTGGCGAGTTGAGTTACTAAAGGGAATTAATTGAAACTGAGATATTCATAAAAGGCATGACTCATGAATTTAGAACAATCTACGCTAGTGGACTAAATATAGGTTTTGGTTTGAAATTCCAGTATATATCACCTGAAGAAGGCTGGAACATACAACTGCCAAAACATCATTAATATGGCAATAGAGATGAGGACAACAGTTTAAATAGTTACAATACCTCATCTCTGAAATATAGTTAAATATTGTTCTTTGAGAGTTTTCATTTTTTTTTTTTTTATTCCTTTACCTTTGCATTCACCATATATCACAAGATATATTGTAAATGTGCAACAGTTCCCTCTCTCAGCTTTTCACCAACCAGACACATAACCTGATATCGTGTCTCTATTCTCAATCATATCAATGTGCTCAATTACTATGAAATATCCACTGTATATTCATAAAAGGATAAAAGGTAAAATTAATTCCATCTTAAGAAATGAAAACCCGAATCTTTTTTTCCTCTCAATACTTTAGTTATTTGTTCAGGGATTTGCTTGCACAGTTTGGTTGGTTGGGTGGGTGACATTTTGGACAAACTGCTGCCATGACAGATTATGATCAGCTCTTCAACCAGCAAGAATTCTGACTTTCTCCTACCACCCCTCTACACATCTCTACATCATGACATAGCTGGCAACTCTAACAGGCACCATTGGAACTACCTTTGCAAAGAACCTGCACCTGCCAACAGGCAGTCCAGAACTACATGCAATCCTAACTGTAACTGTTTATATAAGCCTGTAAGCAGAAATTTCCAACATCCAGTGAAGTGTCACTTGATCACAAAAGTTTTCATTTATTTATATATTATTTTATCCCCTTTTGGTCAAGTGGGTGGCTGCTTTGAAGACCCTATATCACAGACTTTACTGCTGATCATATAAAACACAAAACACTGAGATAAAATCATTTACCATTCTCTTCTGTGTGGGTATCCCAATCATAGTCATAGTGTCAAAATAACGAAAAAAAACATCTATATAATACATTTTGAGAATAATTTAGGTTTTAATTCTTTAATAATGTTAAGCTGTCATTGAATATAAACCCAGTTATCAATTTGAGAAAATAAAAGAAATATTACCATAAAAACGTTTTTCATTACAATTAGGTAAAGATACCAACACTGATTTTTATTTATATATCAGTGTATTGTATATATCATTATCATTTTTTAACATTGTTTCAACATTTTGTTAGCATCAGTTAATTACTGGTATAAACAGTATATGTCAGAATTCAGCATTATGTTTGTTTACATTCCTTTTAATTGAATTTTTCTTTTCTAACGTTGATATTCAGAATCACTTTTCTTTCTGCTAAAAATCTGATTGTTTTAGGTTTGCATTAGAATTTGCTTTGACTTGTTTTTATTTTTCACAGTAGAAGTTTTATTTTTTTTTTTTTGGTTTCTCTATTTTTCAAAGTCATTGATTTTTTCCTTATTCTTCTGAAATCTTAAGTTTCATGATTTTTTTTTTCTTCTTTTAATCTGTGAGCTTTGTTTAGAAATGTCAGCATCAGTTAAGAACTGATGTTAGAAGCATATATAAACATTTGTTACATAGTTCTCTTATTATATTGCTTGCTAGACAAAAACAAGACGTCATCTGGATCTTCAGGTACCCAAGGTATATTTTGGTTTAAGATTCCGTTTGCTTCAAGCCTGCTTCCATGCTCTTTGTTATGTATATTTGAAGCCGTTTTTCAAGAAGAAACTTACGTTTCTGAACCGTAAGCATGCTAAAATGGCTGCTGTTCACTTTTAGCTGATTGTTCAGAATTCTGAAATCATTCAGCCAGCAGCCTTTTTTCTTTTTTTCTCTTTATTTCTGTTTCTTTCTTTCTTTCTTTTTTTTTTTGTATGTTTTAAAATTTCAAAATTTCTTAAAAAAATGCTTTTTTTCATTAATCATGTTTGCATGATAGACATTTTTATCTTTTTAAAGCTGTTTTCTAAATTTTAAAGTTTCTAACTTTGAAAATAAGCTACAAAATGCTTTTTTTTTTCCACACCTTTAAAATTTCAAAAAATTTTCATTTATCTGGCTTTTTCTTTAAATCCAATAATTTTTCTTCTTTTTTCTTGTTATTTATTCATTCTTCTTTAGTATTCTTCGTTCAAACGATTTAGTTTGTGTTGTTTTTTTCTTTCTTTCTTTCTTTATAGTGTGGATGTTATATTAATGTTCTTTACCTTTTTATTATCAGTTGCTTCAAAATTCTTTTTTCAAATGTTTCAACATTGAAGTTCTGCTTAAACTGTTTTTGAACTCTTCAATGAGAATTCTTTTAGATCTTACAGCCATTGTACATTTTCTGACTTTAACACTATACTCTTGTAAACTACCCAATGTTTCTTGATAAAATTTTGTCTAGACTTACTGGGACATTTTGTTTAATATAGATTTCTTTCTTTTAGCTCCACTTTCTACTTGACTAAAAAAAAAGCTAAAAATAGTTATTTACTACAGTACTGATATAAAAGTTCTAATGAAGCAGGTCTTTGGTCATTCATTTTATCTAATCCATTTCTTCTGTTTTCTTTTATATTAAAAGTGAACATAAAATGTTAATATGTAAATTCTGAAAGTCTTTTTGAATGAGTAGGCAATCAGCAGTATTTAATTCATCACCATCATTATTTTCAGTGTTATTATCTGATTATAATAAATTCTATTCTATTTTCTATCAAGTTACCAAAATAAATTCACAATAATTGTCATAAAAATAAGTTGTGCAGTAGCCAGCAATTTTTCAGTTTTAGTGGTATTAGAAAAATACAATTACATGTTTATGGTTAGTAGAAACCATCACTCT